TACATCCAGAAATGATGCCGGAAAAATATGTCTTTGTAAAACACTTTGAACGTGTGAAATGCCTAATAAAAGAGTAGGCGTTTCAAATATTTCAGGTTGCTCTTTGACTGTGTCAGGGTTTCCCTTGGCTTTCCAGTGTTAGGGCAGGAGTGGGGAGCCAGGGGGACTTCTCTGGGAAAGCATCCAGCAGGTTCATTCCCATTTTCCTCCCTCAACCCCAAGTAAAAATGTTGAAGACCAACCCACGTAGTGAGCTTCATGTCCCTTGCAGCCTGTTTTTGGCCACCACAGCTCCAGGCAAGGCAGACACAGTTTCTTTTTAAGATCTTGCCATCCTGGAGGAGTCACTGAGGACCGCTCAGGCAGAGCGAGGGTCTCCCCATTGCACCAGGATGGATTTGGGATGCATCCCCAGAGTGGCTCTTTCTCGTCTGCCAGCGAGCTGCCAAAGGCTGCTGCATGGGGCAGACGTGCTCCTGGAAAAAGCAGGTGTCTTATATAAAAGTTTCATCAATTTTAAATGACAGTGTTATCTTCCTAATGGGATGTTTTAGCTTCAACATGCTCTACATAAGCCTTTTAACTCGCCTTGTCAGGAGCCATTCTGTCTTCTGGTGCGCACAGCGAGCCTGTCGCTCAGCAGGCATTGAGGGGAATTGTCGGAAAGCCAAAGTGGAGAAGTGGAGAAGCGATGGGAAATCATCCCATTTCTCCTTTCCACGGCAGGATGAGTGATGTCCGGGGTCGTGCACTGAGGCTCTGCCAACTGTCTAATGCACAGCTGGGACTTCAGCTCCCCCGGGGCATCGCACACCCCGAGCCCCCGGCCACCGAGAACGGCTGGGCTGGAAAATGAGGGGACCAGCCTTGAGTCTGGAGTCTGGATAAATAACAGCTCCTGAATACTGAATTAGAGGATCCACTGCCATCGCGTTGAAGCCTGGCATCAGAAGAAGGAGGGCTTCCAGCTGATCCTGTGAATCAGCTGATGAACATTTTTCTGCCCTGAGCTGGTGTGAGGAGCACGTGCCCTGCTGGAAATTATATTGCTATTTTTTCTCAAAGTGCTAAGGAGCCAACTGATCTTTAAAACATGCTAATCTGACCTGACAGTGAAGGCTGTTTATTATTGCATGATACTGGAATAAATATAATTTCTGTTCATTAAGTTAGACTATGGGATTTACCTGACTCCCTTACAAAAACATACTAGTAGCACAGGCCAAGGCTGCAAGGTCATAGAGGGACTATCCCGTAACAGGAGCAGGGGATGGGGTGTTAATCACCATACAGAAAGGCATTGCGAGCTTCAGAGATGTGCTGCCTTGTTAGAGATTTGTCTGAAACCACGTGGAAGAAGGGTGATCTTCCAGCCGGGCTGGACTGGAGACGGGAGACGTGCATTGCTCCGATCCATGCCGGGGAGCACAAATAATGTCCCTTCCACCCCCTCCCTTCAGTCTATGGCCTCATCGGGGGGGTTGGTAACTGCTTTGATAGCACATATTGAGCGAGCGGGATGCTCGCTTGGGGTGTTATCTCGCATGGAACGTGGACCATTGATCCAGGTTGGGGACAGGCATTTTCCATTTCCCTGCAAGGGTCGAGGTGGGTGTGAAGGCACCGACCTCCCCAGAGCATCGCTGTTGCAGGAGGGACAGGGTGCGCAGGGGACAGGAGCAGCCCGGCACAGCCGCGGCAGCAAAGATTTGCTGCCTCGAGCGCACCGCGTTTCTCCCGACTGCTGCTCCTCCGGGGAAGGCAGACGCAGCACTGACCGTCAGGGCTGAGCCTTGAGAGGCAGCAGCTATGTGATAACCAGAGGTAACTGTGTGCTGGGGAGATTTATCTAATATGAAGGGGAAAAGCAATATGCATGCACACTGCAGATGGGACTAGCGCTGAGTGTGGATTTATAGGCAAAGAGTAAATAGGAACATAGGGAAACGCTTTCCCTTTCTCCATAAACTTTTCAATTTCAGAGAGGCCAGATTCAATAAAATTATCTCACAGATGGAGGTTTTATTGAATCTGGCCCATAAAGCTCCCATTATGGGGTTTACAACTGCCATTTACACAAATCCTGCTATAATAAAATACAGTGGTGTTTACAGCATTCCTGCAACTGCCACAGAATTACAGTGTGCACAAAACACGATGAGTAAATCTTGGCTTATTGCACCAGGCGCTCCACTGACAAAATAAAGCAGCAAAACTTGGGGGGGGGGGGGGGAGGAAAAATCCAGAGGTGGGAGGAGAAAGTTGCTTGGGCGAGAGGAGAATTATGCCTGCTGCTTGGCCAAGATACCCCAGGGAAATGCCACTGATTTACAACCCTCACCCTGCTCTCCTTCAATGCAAAACATAAATATGCTTCCAAAAGGTGCTGCGTGGCCTCGGCACACAGCTGTGGGGACTGGCCGGGCGTTACTGGCAGCTGGGCAATCCCAGCCGTCAGCAGCATCTGATCCAGCCACGGCAGAGAGCCAGGCTCGGGTTGGCTGAGGACTTGCTGAAGTTTGGTATAAAAATCTCCAGCTGGGTCCTTTTCCCTTTCCCACCTGCCTTGGGGATGCTGCCTGGGTGCTTGTAGCAGAGTGTGGGCTGAGGAAGGATGGAAAGTGGTGGGCAGCCCTGGTGGGTTGTGGCTGGGGAGGAAGGAGGCTGAAGGGTTTGCTGAATGAGTGAAAGCATCTGAAAAGCTTCTGGTTAAGAGCTCGGCTTGGGGCTAAAGGGTGAGTAAAGGCTAGATCTGAACTGTCTGAGGGACTGAGACTTCAGGTGCCTGAGTGTTCTGTCAGAGATGCTCTCAGCAGGGGAGAGGAAAAACTAGGAACTCTGCAGGAGATCCTTTCTGAGAAGGAATAGCCTGAGCTGTGTTTCTGGGCACGGCTTCATGGCCTTGGTGAATAAACATGGTGGCACACATTTATACTGATTTCCAATACTTGATTAAAGGAGATTCATTTTGATGGCATATCTTTCCTCCGCTTGTCCCCACGCTGAGAGCTGTAGCTGAGAGGCGATGGCTCTTCCCTTATGGCAGGTCTCTCTCACACTGCAGCCTTTCTGTTCCCTCTTTATATATCACTGCATTAATCTTTGTGCCTCCCTATATATCTGCAAAACACTTGCATATGCAACTCCATTAATTAGGCCAGAAAGCAGGTCAGCACTAATCTCTTCTGTTCTCCTTAATATATTGTTTTCTGACATCGCCTCACAAATTAAACTGAGATGATTAATACTGATTTTCAGTGCTGTGCTACATGTAAAGGCAGAAACTTCTTGTATTTACAGAGGAAGTGGCTCATTTAGGATGAAGGAACACTCTTCAAGTTACAGTAGAAACATTTATTTCATGGCACATACTTAAGTCAATTCACGGTAAAGTTCAGCTTTCTATTTTTCAGCAAGCTCAGCATGAAGAATTCATTCAGTCAGAGTTTTTATCAACTTTCCTTATCACTGGGCACCTAAATACCTTTGCAAATCTATCCTGGGTGATATGCCCTGGTCATATTGGAAGTGAGTAGCAGGGTGGCAACTTGCATTATTCTCCTGTTATTCTCCGTGCTCCATCGTGCTCAGCACATCACCTTGCAGCCGGGAGGACTGTCCCACCCCAGTGCTCAGGAGTCACCCTGTAACCTGGCAGTGTCTGGGGAAAAGATGCACATGCAGAGCTGAAGTCCAAGGAGGCTGCTGAAATGCCTGGCTTTGCTCATGCTGTGAATTGGGAGAACTAAGATTAATGACATGTTTTGCAGAGCCTTGTGCACTGAGGACAGGTGGTTTTTTTCCTATTTATTATATTTCTGTATTGCTTTTACTGAATCATTCAGTCTTTATTTTGCTATTACATCTGTTCGCTGTATAATTTTTCAGTGTTCAAGAACATGTTTTCTTTTCCAGATGTGTGCACTGTTTGTTTCTTCTGGATTGCTGACTTTTAGCTTATTTACTTGTGACTAGGATCAGGCATTTACTTGTCATTTCCCATATCTGCCCCACTGTAGATCTCAGAGTAACTCTGTTAAGGCTGATGGAGTTACTTCAGAACTATAGTGCTACAATCAACAAAACCTAACCTGTCCTTTCATTTAAATTACAACTGCATAAATGAACTGTCCCCGCCTCTGCTCAGGGTCTTCCAAGGAAGCCTACATCAATGATGTTTTAAGAAACCTGTGCCTGCTTCCAATTCCTCTGTTTGAACTGTGAATATAAATTTAAATGCTGATGTGTCTCTGGCCTGCACGTGCCCTTCTTCACCTTTTTCTTCTGGAGGATTAAGAAGTGATATGGGTTTGCATCAGAACCACCCCAGCTCTTTGTTCCTGTCCGGTTTGCCTGAGCTTATCCTAAATCTTGATTATTTTTTTCTGTTTTGCTGAGTGTCAGTTTACTGCACCTCTATATCCATCTTGGGTTATGGTAGTAATTTAGGAACAGTAATAAAAAAATTATTGTGGGGGTTTTTTTTCCAAAAATGGAAGAGGGGCAGCACGATTCTGTGTTTTGCCATATAATGGGATGGCAGCCACATGAATTGTCTTGGTCTACTATTGCTACTCCTGGTTGTTCCATATAAATACTGCCGCCAGTGTTTTATTTGGGTTAAGACTGAGTCATTATGCTCAGTCAATATTCATGCTTCTCTTCTTGTCCAAGCTTGCCTGTCAGTGGGGTGATTTAAATAGCTGCCTGGGTTGCGAATCCCAAATGGGGTTCAAGACAGGAGGGGAGGGCTGAGATGCCTGGCACAGACAAATGGTGATGTCTCTGTCTATGCGTGGCAGCAGAGCTTCACGTTTTGTGGTTCTTTGTATTTGCATTCAGGAAGGGCGCAGGAGTAATGCATGGCAATGCTTTGAATGCACGGAGTGATGGATAACCTGACCCGAGGGGGCCGGTGCTGCAGCGAGAGCTGCTGCATGGATCTGCTTGTGGTGGTTGCTGAAACGAAATAAAATAAAAATGTTGTTTGTTTTTGACAGCTTTTTGCAATCTTTGCATTTGCAACATGCGGTGGGTACTCTGGAGGACTGCGCCTCAGTGTGGACTGTGCAAACAAGTCAGAGAGTGACCTCAACATTGACATAGCCTTTGCCTACCCCTTCAGGTAACCCCGTTTGGTTCGTGGCGGTTCGTTTGCAGGGAGGCAGGCATTCGGGGGCTGATGCGAAGCCCGTTTTCGGCGGGGTTTCCCATCATTTATAGCAGCTCTCGATTAAGCACCAGTCTGGGGCTCCCGGATTCTCCTCACGATGCTGTTTAGGCTCTGAGTGTGCAGGGGGGATGAATCTGGCTAGACCTGGTGTAGATGGGGCTGCGGGAACTGCTGGGGAATGGGAGCTCAGCAAAGGAGGAGAGAGCAGCTGTGGGCATGCAGAGCCCTGTAAAGGCCAGGGCAGCTCAGGGAGTGGAAAGTGGCAGGTGAGGAAAAAGAACAAAACCACCCCAAGAAAAAAATGGGGATAAAGAATCCATTAACTGTAGTGTAGCCATTGACTAAGCTGGAAATGAGGGAGGATTCCCAACCGTTGGAGTAGCAAGGATCTGGAAGAGCTACTCCGTGGGGAAGGGGAAGCAAAAGACAAAAATTTGAACCATAATTCTGAAATGCTTTTGAAAATTCTACTAATTGCCTGTCTGCATCTCTTGGTGCCTGAATACTTTAAACCTTGGAACCTAGAGACTTAGGAAAACAGATTTTATGTTGTTTAAGTACATCTGAAAGTTGTAGTGAGTTAACTATGTATACATAAAGAAAAAATGTTCATGCCATTTAGGACCCTGCTTCAAAAGAACATCCACAGTCTTCTGTTTTTAAAGATGTCAAGTCCACTCTAGAAACCTTTCACTTCTGTATAAGAGATTTCTTTAAGGAATTGAGATGATTAAGAGAAGAATGCATAATCCAATCTCAAGTCTAGTACACTATGACTCTAAAAATTATTTTGCTTCCTTGGGAAATCACATGCTGTTTTGCTTATGATTGCTATGCATAGATCAGATGTAATAGCATCTACTTCTTTAACATGTTCTAAAATATAGCAACTTCCAAACACTGGAAACTGAATTTGATTCCTTGAACTGTTGTTCTTTCTTGACACACGTTTATAACTCCAAAGGGGCACATTTCCTGGTATTACAAATGTTTATTTTTTGTCTTGAACTTGTCTGCGTTTTCTTTCATTTCGGCTGAGTATGCATGAGATGGGTCCTGAAAATTGAGTTATGTGAATTTGTAATGTGATTCACTTCCAAATAGGTCATTTCTCCAGCATTCATTACAGAATACACCCTACAGTAAAGTGCTTTTAGTTTGCATGATTATAAAATAGTACTTTATGTAAAAAGTTAATAAAATGGAGAGAAGTAGCCAGCAAGTGTCTCCTGCTGTTTTACCAGGCACGTTGACCATCGCTTCCAGAAGGAAGTGGCTGGATCTGCAATTTCCCCACAGTCTTGCTTATTAGAAAACTGGAAATAATTGCTGGGTAACTGTAACATTCCAGCATGTTGGAAAGATGATGCAAATAGGGTTTATTTGCCGAAGGAATCCAACTGAGGCTGTAGCTGGCCCTTGAACTGCCTGTGTGGCTCCCAGCTGTGGATGGGTGCGCTCAGCATGCACAGATAGGGCGTATGGCATGTACAGTGGGATGGCTGGCCACATGGGGTAAATATACCTGTAATTTGCAGGTGAGAAGGGAGATGACTCTTAGCCAACTGGTGTTTTGGGAGAAGCATGAAGATACTTAGGTTTTGTGCAATTTGGAACTTTGCGTGCAAACCTGAGGCACATGGAAAAAGTGTCCAAAGATGTACAGACTGCGTGGGGTAGCAGATGTGTGCCTGGAAAATCTGGCCCAGTGCTACCTGCAGAACTTGGTGTCATTTTACTATTTTATCGAAATATTCCTGTGACTTCCTCCTGAATTTGCTTTTCTCCAGTGCTCCTTCCACAGAATGGAAAGGGGATGCTCTAAAAACAGAAGCGAGATTAGTTGGGAAAGGTAACATCTCATATTAGAGCAGTGGGTACCCTTGGAAAAAGCAGGCACATTTTAAGTTCAGGTTTCCCTCATCAAGGCTGTGACCCTGAAGCTCATCTGCGTGCATGGGCATGTAGGCTTTTTGTAGGTAGGATGAATTTCCCACTAGTTGTCTGGCATCCAGGTCTGAATAAGTCCATATTCACGTGGCATTTTCCTTTCAAATGCCTTCAGCGTTCTGATTATTGGCTGACAGCTGGGGGAGGTGTAAGTGGAAGGAGAGATGCTGCCGAGCATCTGACACCACGGTGCTTTTGTGGCTGTCAGCAATGACACTGAAGCAGTCAAATACCGGAGTGCTGTTTTTTATGAGCTGCCCCTTCCAGCATGCCTTGAAATGAAGAAATCCATGCAGCCGTGCTACCAGCTGCTTTCATTCCTGTTGCTGTGATTCTGAGGTTTTGTTTTCTCCTAGAAGTTGAACTGCTAGACCTTGGCTAGTTGATGACTAAGTGTCAAGAGTTTTAAGTAAGTAAACAAAATTGCAAGGTTCAACAGGACAGCTTGGCAAAGCAAGAGGACGCGGATGTTTTGGAAATGAGATTGAAGGAGCCTGAAAATATTCCCATTAAAGCAAGATCAGAACGAGGAGGGGGTTTTCCAGACTGAAAGGCAGGGCATCACACTGGTGACCATATGCTTCTGGGGCCCATCACCTCAGATAAAGAAAGGGAGGATGCAGGGGAGCAAAACCAGTGCTGATGGGGTCTGTGGATGTGTGATTAAAACATACCAGTTGCCAAGCTGACTTCAAACCAGTTATTCATGTAGCCCCAGGCCAATCCTCAATGTGCTGAGGAAGCATTGCACTCCACAGCAGGTAGCTCCAGATGCTCCTGCAAACCAAAGAGCATCTCCATACCCGCTTAATGAAGTTTTTCTCAGCACCAGCCTACAAGCTGCAAAACTCTCCAACAAACAATGTAAATGAATTCAAGAGAAATCATTAGTTCCATCAGACAGGGAGTTTTGAAGGGTACAGTTAAAAAAAAAATCAAGAAAATTAATATTAGTTTAAAGTTACTGTAAGACGATAGTTGTGCTTGGCTCCTGCATTATCTTACTGCTGTTGTAACTCTGGCAGCAGGAACTTGTGGAGCACCAAAAAACACCCCAGAGAAATGCCCTGCATAAGGTGCTTGCTTCTCATTTCTGCCAGAATCACATTCTTTTCCCAGTTTAATTCTGGACCTGGATTCATTTGCCCTTTGAAAAGGGGGAAGTGAGGAAGTATAGGTAAGTACATTAATCAGTAGCCAAAACCATCAGAGTAAACCGGCGAAGTGGTGCTTACGCACGGCCAGGAGAAGTGATCCCTTCAGAGAAAAGCCCGTGTGGTGGGTACCTGTGCGGGGCTAGCGCGGGGAGGCAGAGCCGTCCCCTCTCTGAGTGTACCCCATGCTGGGGCTCCTGCTCTGGGTTTGCGTTACTGGGGTGCAGCAACCGCCGAGGAGTCTTTCCAGTGTGACTGCTGAGTAATTGAACCCAAATCTGGTTCCACCATCTCTCCGGGAATAAGAGGGGTGGTGGATGCTTTTCCATCTACAACCACACCGATTCATTCAAGCTTCCTGCAACCCACATCCGTGACCCTGTAGCCACCCTGTAACGTGCAAAGAAACCTGTAGTCCAAACCCTAATACCCCCCAGCAGCATCTCCTGGAGCTCTGCCACGCTTTTCTACGTATCCTGCCAGACTCGTTCATGTCCAAGCTGATATTCATAAGGCCATTTCAAATAGTTTTGTTTTCCTCTCATTTCTTCTGCCTGATTCTAGTTTCATCACAAAGGATTTCTTTACCTCTTCATGCTTTAAAGCACAACTCAGCCTTTCTTCTGGATACCTGTATATGTATTTCAAAACTTTACAAGTTCAAATATGGAAAAAACTTCTCTGGTCCCACGCTGGCAGTTTTTCTCAGCATTAGGATCTGTGCTGGGTACAGTTATCTGTTGCAAATTTGGCACACATTAGGAAGTTCATCAGCTTGACTCTCACCCCAGTAATGATTCTTTGAGCAGGGGAAAAAAAAAAATCAGCATCTTGGAATTATTTGTTACTCTCGCGGTCCATCACCCTTTCAGATTAGATTTGTCACTCATCCAAGTGCCCTGAAGCAAGATTTGTTTCTGTAGTAAGGGTCCTGGTGAGGGTCCTATTTGTTTATTTTTATTGTTTTCTTCTGATCCCAGCAACATTTTTATCATGTACTTTGCTGTTCATTGGTTTTACTTTGATAGTAAGTGGTTGAATAGTATACCTGCTGTGCACATATTTGTTGCTGGTATTCATAGTTTTAAGGTGCTTTTTAATCAATCCTCCTAAAAGCAATTTTTTTTGGTTGCCAGCTCAGTTGTCAGGCTTGACTTACTGAGTCTGTACTGAAGACTTTTGCTACATAATTGTTCAATGTCACAAACAATGTTTTTCTTGTAACTGGCAGAGTTGTACTGAAATCTTTGGGCTTCTTCAGCTACTGATTTAAATGAAACTTTGCATAGCAGAAGCTCTCTCATGATGCTGTGCTGCACAGACAGGCAGCACACTGTCAGCCAGAGATATTATCTGCTATAATACCATGACCTGCTGCACTGTGGTATCTCACTTCTGCAAATCCCTGTCCTGACCGAGGGAGGAATGCCTTTCTCAATCCCTGGCTGTAGGGCGATGCTGCCCAGGGCAGGGGTGAGCACCAGCAGCGGAGGGGTTGGGCTGCACAGGTCTGCAGTGCGATGGCAAGGGGGGAGCATTTTAATATAATCCCCAAGTGTGCTGTCTGTGAAGTCCTCAGGCATTTTTGCCTTTAGCTTTTGGAGGTGCTTCAGGCCAGCCTACATACACAGGGTATCCCCAAGTTGAATGCTGCATGGGAATTCATTTGGAGTATATCTCACTTTTTCTTGTGGCATTCATCCTGTAAGCTACTTGGAAAATATTGCCCCAGAGGATCCCATGACTAAATTTTAAACACAGTCTCATCTAAGCCAATGGTTAAGGTATGTGCATAGGTGTTAGGAGAATTGAGCCATAGTTACTAGTGGGACAGAATGGGATTGCCTG